TATGTTATGTACATATAATTACAACTATTTTCACTGTCTTCTTTGCATTCCTTTACTAGTTATACACCAGCCACGAATTATTGCCATAAAAACCCTTAGACAAATTCTTCCTTCCTTTCGCCCTGCGTCGGACTTCCAGGGGGGGTTAGACTACTCATCATTGTTCTTAACTGATCCTCCGATAGTTGCCTGGCAACACCAGGCCTTTGAGAACGCGAAGACGTCGGCGACARCGTTGCAGGCTGTTTTGCGCGGGAAAATTTGCGYGAAATAAGTCGCGGGCTCACRGGTTTGTCAGCGGTAACGCTATCGGTGTCGATGAGATCATCGTCAGGAGCGATGCTCGCGATTGGTGCGTCTAGACAGGGAGTGATCATTTTGATGTCATTGGATAGCATTTCAATGATTGTGATTGGTTCAGGACGATCGTTGGGGTCTGGCCGCCAACACTGATACAACAGCTGAGAACTGCAAAATTAAATACATCTCTTTCAAACAAACCAACGTTTAGGTATTGATTGCCTCCTTTTTAAAGCCATATTGAAAAAAATCTACGCCTTATCATGGACGGTAGAGAGACGGCAATCGGGTTTGCAATCTTAGATAAGTTTTTTCCTACGTGGGACAATTATTCACAGGTGCCAATCTCTTCAAGCTCAAATAAAGACTGGTGTCAATGCGACATTCAGTATTGAAGGCTCAATAGCTGTGAATCATGTAATTTTGATCAAACAACCATCGATTACTTTATTTCAATCAACGAACACATAGCCTTGCAAAGGGTTTACAAATCTTTGGTGGGAAATTAAAATGTTTATTATGACAAGCTCTTGCCAGTAAGYAGGGTACACCGAGTAACCTAAACATTCAGCTCTTGTAAACGTTTACAGTTTCCTTTTTTTTAAGTCAGTTTAAAAATTTAAAAATCTTTAAATTCTTATCAATTACTTTAATTTAGATGTTTTTGCTTCTAATTTTAAAGATAACACTAAGGATAAGAAGGGTAACAATGCGATAATACTTACAGACGAGGCGTGCAATCACGTGGCATATCCATAATATTCTCCTCTTTCACATATACAACMACCTCTGAGTTCGARAGGCCCTGGTAAGGAAAACTACCCAGWGTGCATAGCTCCCATAGAGTCACACCCAGKCCCCACACATCYGACTTGGTTGTGAAGACACCGTCCGCAAGTGATTCTGGGGCCATCCATCGAACTGGAAGCATTCCTGTGAAAATGACCAAAAAAWTCAAATTCTTATCCCTTCTGATGAATCTAGGAATGGTTTCAAGTTAATACTAAGGTAGGCCGTTTTTTTCAACTCCTAATTTAACATGTGCAGAAGTCCAAACGAATTTTGAGAAGCCATGCGAAGAAATTTATTATCTCCAGTTTCAAGTGTTTGGATTACAATAGATTCTCTGCTGAACAAACGAATATATTACATGCTTTCGAGGTTAAGGCTGCACAAATAAGATCTCGAGTATTCGGCAGATGTGAGATTCTGCAATCACTGCCTTAACAATATATTACCAGGTTTCCTCCAAGATGGCTGCTGATTGGCGAACTTAATGTTTCAGAATTTATAGATCAATAAGGAGAGGTATTCCCTGGTCCCAGAGGTTTTCTTTTCTCTTCTTTTATAGATGTTTTTTATCGTATTTTTGTCTTTGTTTTTTAAATTTAACGACGTTAAATACAAAAGTACGATAATAAACATCTATAAAAGAAGATAAAAGAAAACCTCTGGGATCAGAGTAGGAGAGGTATTTCTTCACCGCAATTATTGAATATGTGTTTAAAGCAGGAATAGAATTTTATCCATACATTTTTGARCAGTTTGAGACGATTTAG